GAAGAAGTCTCTTGGAGGAGAGACGAAACGTTTCGTTAGAGAAGAACTCGTCCAGAAGACCTATACTATTTTTTCTTTTTAATTTTTTACCTGGATTACTGAGATGCATCAGGATACAGTAAATAAGTATTTGTACTTAGTTACTTTAAAACTCTGAATGTAAATAAGTGTAATCATGATAGATCCAATATATTTGTATGTATTTTACATGGCTGTACATTAGGTTTACTGAATAAACTCAAGTGTTTGATGTGATACATGATGAACTTGTATGTTACCTCCTCTCCCACCGGTTCTGGACGAGCCTCGGCTGTGTGAGTCCTCCCAGCCGTTCAGGTATCTCCCCACACATCCTCCCATGGTGGTCCCACTCTTCACGGCTCTACTGGCTGAGCGGGGGTCCCATGGACCTGATGTCCGGAGTGGGCGTCACAGGAGGTGCAGGCTGCAAACCAGATGATCTGCCATTCGTTAGGTCAGTTTTAGCCAGGCTGATTTAATGTTATTAGTGTTTGTAAAAACTTCTCAGCAAGGACAGCTAACTCCAGGACGAGACTGACAGGTTGTACTAGCGCTCATATCTCCCTCCCACCGCCGCTTCAGTTTGTTAGCAAAGTTGTAACACAGTTAACACAACACGAAGCTTTCTCGCTAACAAGCTAACTGAGCTAACCAGAGTTAGCTACCTCAACATCAGTAAACACAAACTTCAGCGTAACACGAGCCTTTCTCCGCTTCTTAGCGCTTTTACAGACACAGCTGACAGCCACGGTCCTCCCGGACCCAGGTGGAAGGAAGTCTTTGAATCCCTTCGCGCTGTCTGCGGATCATTTTTACTAAAGTCCCGAAAAGACACTTCCCGAGTCTGTTAATAGGTGACCAGCAGTTCAGCTAGCGCCGCCTAACTTTGTTTACGCATGCGCAGAAGCGCTCAGGTAGGCTTCTCTGACACTCACCAAACTTAAAACAAATCTTTGGAATTATTAACAACATGTTCGAGATATTATTACTGTTCCTGAATGTTTTTATTTTCACATCACCTTATACTTCTAATCCACTACATCTCTTTCCCGTCCGAGCTGATAATAGGCTACAATTAATACAAATGTTTAATTAAACAGATTATTCAAGAATACATCAAACCAAGCAACATTTATTTATTAAATACTTTGATTTTTAAGCCTTGTTGCAGTTCTACATCATTACAAAAACGACTTTCACTTAAAAAGACTAGAATAATCTGTTATTTGTGCATTAGAATAATCTAATGATAGAAAACACAAACATAATCCCTTTTCTGTACATTATAATTCTATATTTTGAATGTTTATTTGTTGCACTTTTCATATAGTTCCAAACCTTTTTACCTCAGCAAATCAGATTAAAAAAGAGTTTATTTTAATTATCATTATTGAACCTAACTGTTCCTTAAGATTCATGGATGCTTTTAATGCCAAACTATATCCTCACATATAAGTTAAAATCAACTTAACTGTGTTTTACTGATTTTCTAATCAATGAGCAGGGGTGTCACTAGGTTTTAAGGACAAGGGGGGCTTAGCCCCCACGAGACGCACAGCATTTTTCTATATTATATATTTGTATTATGTGTGTGTTTTATTCATATATATATATA